ATGTTTCCAGGCTGACTTTTGCGTATTGTGGCGGCCATCTTGAACTCCAAAATGACCGCCAGCGAAATTGGATTTTCTGAAATATCTGGACTCCCAGACGTCGTAGAGACATAATGTTGGTGGCTATACCCACATTTTCGATAGTGGAGAACCCAATTATCACACTTAGAGAAACATAGGATGGCGGCCATATTGGATTTCAATATCGCCGCCAGTGAAATTTGTTTATTTTTGCATGTAAATATTTGCGTTAATTGGAAAAAATAGTTAAATGAAATAAAGATAGAAAAATACAGAAAACAGGAAAATATTAAAAATAAGATGGGATTCGATCCAACGACCTTTCAGACCTGACGTCCGTGCTCTACGCGGTCCGCTTTTCATGATTAATAGGTTCATTAATATGGATGTGCCATGAATATGACCACACTGTGACGTCATTGAGCAACGACACAATCTCAACCAATGGCCGCGCTTACTAGAGCCTTATGTTCTTGATTATCCTAGGGAAATAAATCACGCCTGCGGGAAAAATATGTTTTGTTTATAGCAGCTGCTGTAGACCACAGGTCCTTGGAGCGTTTCAATAAAATATGCGAAATAAATACGAAATCTATTTACTACCAAAGTAACCAGTACAACGCTTCACGCAGGGTGGTAAAAATCAGATCCTCGAAAGCTCCAATAGCGTATCCATCAGAGCTAAATCATCCGGGCACTTTTAGAATAAATTGATTTGAAGTTTGGTTTGTAGTTTTTTTTTATAATGTCCTTTATTTCCAGAAACACATAATAATGTACATTACATTATATTATACGTTATACAGAATATCTACAACACTGTGATAGTAACTTAGTTCAGTGATGGTACAAACAGGTAAACGACATAAACAGTTTTACAAAGTAGTGCATATATCAGCGTACTAGTTAGGGGGGCCTATACTTCGTTACAAGAAGTTCATAAATAAAGGTAAGCATAGTAGTAGCTGTAGGCCTTGTGCATCAAAAGTACAATTTTACCAAACATGATGTAATGTTATATATGACAAACATGTATATCCTACTCATATCGTATTATTTACATGCACACATACACGCACACACACGCGTGCGCACACACACACAAACACACGCACACACAAAGACACACACACACACACACACACACACACAAAGACACACAAAGACACACAAAGACACACACACACACGCGCACGCACGCACGCACGCACGCACGCACGCGCGCACACACGTGTTTACAGTTGTACAGAATAGCTGGGCATTGCTAAGCTTGCACACTTTCACTTACACCACCCAGAAACCATCTGTTAAAGATGACAGGGCCCCCAACCACTTATTTATGAAGGAACTGTATTCCGCTGCCATTGGAAGCTTCAGTTCCATCAGTGTGCCACAGGTTCTAACATCTGGCAGTTGTTGGCCATTGGTGAATGTGACAGGTATTTTGCGACACGACAACCCACCAACAGGAATAACACCTGCTCCTGTACAGAATTTCTGCCTGTCTGACAGGTGATACTACTCTTTTCCTTCTGAAAAATCAATATTGGTGTTAATTGTTGACTACATTGAAAAAAGTGTCAAGTTAACATCTTGGCTGTAATCAACATGCCGCTGTGATGAACAACAAATATCTTATGTGGAAAAGTTAACGAGTATCTTCTTATGATATATAATAGGAAAGTGAAAATTATAGTGTACTACATGCAATCTGCTCATATTCTCCAATAGACCAATAGTGTTATGCAGATTTCGGTTTGGTATGTAATGAGGGCTAATGGTTTTTTTATTTGATTTACCTTCGAGAGCTGTAACAAATCTTGTGAATTGACTAAACGCCATGTCCGTCCTCCTGATACCTGCGGGATGTGCCCACTGGGCTGAAGTCACACTGGAACAGTGTAATCACTCTGGCAGCGCTCAGAGGTGCATGGGTGAAGAGCCTCGCGATATCGTTATCAGCAAGAAGCTGAAAAAATATATGAAATGTATGAATGAAAAAAAGCTTACGTGTAGGCACATGCATTGCTGTGTGTTATAGACATCCCCACTAAAAATTTCTGTGATGCTGTTTGTTATGCGACAGTAGCTTTCTGACATGCTTACAGCGTGGCAGGTAATGCAGTTACAAGTGTATCACTTCATTGTATTGTAACATGTGTTTTGCACGTGTTACAGGAATTAGTCAGTAGAGTTAGACTAGTAGTTGTTTTAGTCATAGTCTAGCTAGACAGAGCGTCGCGCATCTTGTGCGGCTAGATTGATGGTATAGGGAGAATAGTAAACGTGTTTTAGGTTGGCCGTTTCTAGGGTCATTGTGAAATGGGGGGTAGGACGCGGTCTGGAAGAATGGGTACATGAATGAGAACGTGCAAGATGTTTGTAGGATTTTTTTTGGGGAGGGAGGGAATATATAGAGGAGAGATGTAAGAGTAGAGGATGCTTTGTGCGAGGTGTCTACACTGTATGAGTTATTAAAGATTATTCCGGTTACAACACAAGTTTGGCTTTATATCATCATTCTTGTTTACAGTATCGCTTACTGTGTTAACTTTCAAAGCTTCAAGGCCGTCCAAAAATTCCCTTGCCCACTGGTGTGATGCTGCTTGCTGAACTGTCAACACGAACGGTGGACAGATTTCGGCTTGCACTATTGATATAGCTGAAAACATCCAAAGAATTCTTGGTCAGATAAAAACGACAATTTAATTTGCCTCCTCACTGTAACTCTAAAGCTAGTAAAAAACCAACTCATTATATCCACTCATACATACTATATATCATTTTTATAGACCTTTAACCTGTAACCATACTACGTGTACATGCGTAATGTGCATGCTATCTGAACAACTCGTAACCCAGGAAATAAATGGCAGATTGTTGTTATTGCTTCTAAATGCAACTCCATGTTTCTACTTGTAAAGGATGACATGCACAGAAAGGCTGCCAACTTTTAGAATGAGTTTCAAAATACATCAATGTGTTTTTAGCAAAACCACTTGTTTGACCATACTCAATGTGTTTCGCTAAAAACACATTGAGTATGGTCAAACAAGTAGTCACTACTGATCATACTGTGTGTAAAGAATGAATAGGTCAAAACCACATCTTTGCGTAATATACGCGCGCGCATCTATGATGGGAATACAACTTGTTGAAAAGGTGCTCACAAATTGCCTATAGCTGCTTACCACAATATATTCCAGCAACAAAAAATTTCTCCACGTCAACCTGCGCAACCTGCGACATCACTATCGTCTCAATTGTCTTCAGCACGAGACTGAGGAATTCTCGCTGAGGGCCTCCCTGGTCCACCCTAACCTCCGTGTTGAAGCAGACAACAAGTGGCCATGCAATTTTCTCACTGTAATTACAAAATATTATCATAATACAGCGTAAATATTAAAAAGAGAAAATGACATAATTCCTAAATTAAATTTAGCATATTTTTGGTCTTTAATTACTTCCTGAACGGAATGAGAACATATGGAATAATGGTGGTGCCATCGTTGTCTGCATCGACATCCTTTCCAAGTGCTATTCACTGAGTGCAACCAACAAACTGAACGAAGCTGTGGTTTTTAAACATTGCTGAACACGTGTTGCTAAAGAACAATTTGGAAACAAACCGAAAAGAAAGAGTTGTTCCAGAACGGAAAGCATCTTCGACTACTGTAAGCCGAGACACAAAGATGGTGTAGGCGCAGTCGCTGTCTTCCCACGCATCTTCGTCAGTGAAGTGCATGACTGCAACTTTGTGCTGCCGCAGCTTGACACGAGCGATTTCTAAAGAAGGTTGAAAATTGCATTTTAATATTACATCTTAGCATTTAAAACATATCATGTCAAAGTAATGACAAAGCAAACTGCAGAGCAGCATCATTACAACATATTTATGCAAAACAGATGTATATAAAACTAGGTGATTTCTGCTGTACTAGTGCTCAATTGAGTTTCACATTAATGGGTTGTTGAGTGGTGACTACACAGTCATTTCTGTTAGTGAATTGTAAATTACATTTAATGTTATTGAAAAATGATACAAAATTGGAATTGAAGAGAAATATATGTCATACCTCGCTGACGACGAATCTCTCTAGGTGTGTGCAGCAGCTGTGCAGCTGGAGAGCCTGCTGCATGCAGTTCACTTGGAGTGGTCGGAGCGGCCTGCTGCATGCAGTTCACTTGGAGTGGCCGGAGCGGCCTGCTGCATGCAGTTGACTTGCAGTGGCCGGAGCGGTCTGCTGCATGCAGTTCACTTGGAGTGGCCAGAGCGGTCTGCTGCGGTCCACTTGGAGTGGCCGGAGTAACCTGCTGCTGTTCGCTTGGTGTGGCCTGACGTAGTCCATGTGTGCGACCTTTAAGTGCATGAACAAAATCATGATGACAGAAGTTTTTATTATTATAAACGGTGGTGGGATAAACTCTAAATAATAACTAAACAATGACGATTTCGAAAACGTACTTTTTGGTTGATAAAACATCTACCCAGTACAAGTATAAATGTTTTACTTTTGATGGACATGCAGACATGAAGACGTTTATCGCATTTCCTTACCTTCAACATTAACTTGAGCAGGTTGCTCAAGTAGCTCTTGTAGACTGCCGTCGTCATCAGAGTCATAATGTTCAGCACTGCCAATGAAACGAAAATTGAATACGCATATTTGACGATGGCCAGTCAAAGCCTATATCCAATTGACCTGATACTATTGATTAGCAGCAATAAAAATTTTCTTAACAACCACTGCAGCACAAGTTTGTGAAATAGGCGAAATCCCACATGGTAACACAACTATATGTTATCTTAATATATTCCACATAACATGTATTAATGTTAATCACCACAAAAGACAATGTCAATGCAATGAATGTCAGGCTAGTAAATCATGGCGTAATATTGGGAAAAAATGCTACAAAAAGACATTCACAAAGGTAGTGTTGTTATAAGCTGCAGCCGATACTTTCTTCAAGGTGAGCGAAAGATGGACTTTAAAGTTACACGAATATTAGCATAATAATAACAAGTTAATCATATAAGTATTTTACGACCAATCTACTCCTGTATACCCACATCTACGTGCGTGTATCTGAGTGTACCCGTGGACGTGCGTGTACCCGCGTTTACGTGCGTGTACCCACGTGCACGTGCGTGTACCTACGTGTACGTGCGTGTATCTGCGTGTACGTGCGTGTACCTGCGTGTACGTGCATGTACCCGCGTGTACGTGCGTGTATCTCCGTGTACGTGCGTGTACCCGCGTGTACGTGCGTGTATCTCCGTGTACATACGTGTACGTGCGTGTACCCGCGTGTACGTGCGTGTATCTCCGTGTACCTGGGTGTACGTGGGTGTATCTGCGTGTACGTGGGTGTACTCGCGTGTACGTGTGTGTACGTGCGTGTTAACCCGGGTGAGCGTGCGGTGTACATAGCGTGTACCTGCTGTATCTCCGTGTACCCGCGTGTATCTGCGTGTAACGTGCGTGTACCCGCGTATACGTGCTTGTATTTCCGTGTACGCCGCGTGTACGTGCGTGTTACGTGCGTGTACCTCGATGTACCCGCTGGTGTACGTGCATCTGCGTGTAACGTGTACGATGCGTGGTAATGCGTGTATCTTCCGCGTACCGCTGTGTAGGCCTACTCGTGCGTGTACGTGCGGTGTATCTCCGTGTACCCGCCGTGTACGTGCGTGCTACCCCTCTGGCTGTGCTGCCGTGAGCAGCCAATTGTTTACAAAATGCCTAGCTTAGCCCTCGTTTTCGTGAGATGAGCCCAGGGGCCCGTTGTCAGAAAAGGTATCTAAAGTTACGATTAATTTTAAGACTAAATTTAGTTAATGTATGAAGAGAAAAGTTAATAGCGTTGGCAGAAACCTATCGTAACTAAACGTTATTTAGTGAAGACTTGGAACTTTCAACGATAAACAGTGAACTTCATACACAACGGCTGCTGATTCTGATGGAATCGATTCACACAATTCAAATTCATACACATTTATTGTACATCACAGTAATTTTATGCACATTATGATGGCTAACCCACATATAAATAAATATTTGATGAAAAACGACACGGTCTGAATTTATTCTACACAATAAGGACAACATTCGCTCACCAGCTGTCCATTTTCTCACGAGACGGCGAGAGTCGTGGTGGTTAGTGCAAAGGGTATTTAAAACAAGAGAACAAATGCCATAAGACGGCATTGTAAATGTTGACACTTTTGTTTTGCTTTTCACATCGGTAGATGATTAATGGTTTTTGACGTGTTTTCCAAGAAAAACACATGCACTATTACTCACTTAAATAAAAGTATATAATATCACTATAATTGTAGATTCTGTAAGTCTAAATGTGTTATTTTCATCTTAATTATTAAAGTTAAGGGGTGTCCTATGATCTCTAGTTTAGAGGGGGGTAGGTTTTTCTAGGATTTCTAGCTAAGGATCTACTAGTTAAGAAAAGTTACGAGAATTTTTAGTTCTCTTAACTTTACGAAGTGGTTCTGGCAAACGTTCGCTCTTAGAGAAAAAGTTTAAGTTAAGGTTAATGTTTAAGAACAAATTTTTTTCTGACAACGGGCCCAGGCCATGAAATAATAATTGTATCCCCCGAACGAAGTTCGGTGGGAATGCTATGGGTTTGGCATCTGTCGCCACCGCGCGGCCGCCGCGCGCAGAGAATTTCCTTGTAACGCTCAGCTGGCTGCAAGTTTTTCTCGGATCATCTTCAAATTTCGCATGGAAGGTGCGTTATTCGTAAAGCGAAGACGCCCTAATCGTTTTTGTGTGCGGCGAGAGTCATTGTTGCCATGGTAACAACATTTTTGTCGAAATAATTCTAGAACTGTATATTCTGCATCTTTTACCGATGTCATGAAATTTTAATTTGTATTAAATTTAATTAAATTTTATATAAAAAATTTAAATTTAAAATTTAAATTTAAATTTAAAAACAAAAATTTAAATTTAATATTTGTATTAAATTTGTATTTTTAATTTATGATTGTCATCAAATATTATATATATATATTATAAACATATATATAATATATCTATATATACACTATATATATATATAGAACATGTTATATCGCCCTGTGTGCCAATTCCATGACAACGGTCGAAAAACAGCACAAGTTACAGTTCTACAATATTTCCACAAACATGTTGTTACCATGGCAACGATGACTCCGCCACACCAATAACGAATGGCGTCTTCGCTTTACCATAACGCACTTCATGCCAAATTTGAAGATGATCCGAGATTCGAGCCGTAAAACTCCCCACCTGCGTAAAAACCCACACTGGACCATTATTTCACCTTTACCTTACTTTATGTAGTAGCCACGTCCAGCCCTACGACTGTGTTCACGTCAACCTTAATGCATATTTCTCTTCCGCCTCTCTAACTCAAACCCTAATTGACTACGCGACGCAAACTGGTATGCTTACACATCTTGGGAGAGAATGGTCTGTCCCACATACCAAAATCCACCACTGCCCCTGACCTTAGTTTTGACGCTCACCGTCGTACTTAAATTTCCTCTCGGCCTCCTAGGGTAACCAGATTGCAATATACTTGCACATCTCTGAGGCACACGAGTCTTGTCTAACAAACCTTTGTCTTTCTGACTTATTTAACTTTACTCTGCCTTCTACGTCCTTAGCAGGATATTTCATTCATACTAGATCACGGGGGTAGCATTGGTACGGGTTTAGGTATAGTATGTTGTGTTAGTATGTAGTATGTTTGTAGTTAAGACTGGTCTATACGTGTGGCGAAGAAGTGGGTTTCTGCGACGTGAAACAGTCCGTATGGCTGGAGAGTGCTACATTACGTGGCTACTACGTAGCACGCAAGTAATTTTGGCTAGTTTAGTTGATGGAATGTGATGGATATTTCCGTGCTGAAATATGAGGTACATAGATTAGTCTCCAAGGAATTGAAGATCAGAATAAAAAAAAAGAATGTTATATTTTACATCAGCATCACTCTTTATTATATATGCTGTGCTAGTGTTGGGTTGTGCATTGAAAAAATGTATCATGACAAAGCCATTGAATAACATGAAGGTGATGTCATGAATTGTAATAAATCCATCGGTCGTCATTAGTTCCCAATTTTCGTTTTGATTTCACTCTAGACTGATATGAAGATTGCCGTCATGTATCATCATCACACCCCATAAGGATGATGTGTAAGAGCCTCTGCAAGAGTCCTTCTCCATTATTGTTGTTGATTTTTTCAGTGGCAGTCCTCTGCATATCATGCCCTCTTAAGGTGTTGATGTTTTTTTCAGTGCTGTTCATCTTTCTTCAATTGCCTCTTCAATGTGCGTGTGATATGGACGGCGTGAAACGACTCCCCGTGTGCGATGTCTCTTGGCGTTAGTCATTAGTAGTCCTCCTGTACTTTCCAAATGTGAAAGCCTGCATTAGCGAATTATTTTTCACTCACGACATACTACAATTATGTACCTGTGGTTTGTCCTATAGTGCTCCCGCATCATGTCAACTCATACACTCTCCTGACACTGCATGCAAGTTTCGCAGAGTGTTGCTGCTACTGTATACCAAAAACGTCATAGATGTCATAATTAAATCATGTCCACAAGAGTGAACCACTCCATTCTCAGACGTAACAGTGACTTAAAGCATCTTAGAGAAATTAATTGCTTAAACTCCCAAAAATTCTAAACAACACAAATTTTAACGTAGCAGTTGCAAAGCATACAGCTAATATGTCTTTACAATATAAATTGTATTTGTCAGTTTATCTATATGAAAGTTGTGGCTCACTGTCGGCAGTATCTAAGAAACAAGGTTGGGCGCGGAAGCAGAAGGCTTACCTGACGGCCAAGGGTGTTGATTGAATTGGATAAAACTCACTGGAAACGAAAACAAGAGCACCCGTCCATTCGCCGCGTCGCCTTCCCCTCGTTGTCCTCTCTCATTGCTTGCTCTTTCGCTCTCTCTCTTTGCTCTCTCTTCCCTTGCGCGCACTCTCCGGTCTTTCTCTCTCTTTTTCCTCTATCGCGCACGCCTCTGACCGTCGCTCTCTGATCGTGCACACTACTCCTCATTTCATCGTTCTCGTCATTCCATCTGCGCCAGATCTCTTTCATCGTCTCTTTGGCTCTTTCGTTCGAGAGACGTTTGTGAAAAACAACGCTCTTCGTCATCTTGCTCGCTCAACTCACTCTCCCTCGTTTGTCTCTCGCTCTTTCTTTGTCTTTGTTCCTTTTTTCTCTTCTTCTCTTTCTCGTCTCGCTCTCGCCTCTTCTTCTCTTCTCTCGTCTCCCTCTCTCATTTCTCTTCGCCGGCGCTCTCACTCTTTTTCGCGCGGCTCTCTCTCTTTCTCTCTTCCCTCTCACTCTATCGCACATCTCTCTCTCTCTCTGCTCTACTCGCACTTTCCCAGCTCCTCGGTCCTGGTCTCTCTTCTTCTCTCTCCTCTCTCTCCCTCTCTCATTCTCTCTCTCTCTCGAGGCGCTCGTTCCTCTCTCTCACTCTCTTTCCCTCGCCTCTCTCAATTTCTCTCTGTGTCTCGAGGCGGATCGCAGCTGCGCGAGGAAAAGCGCTGTGCGGCGCACTGATGTGTCATATAAGAATGTCTGATTGTACTAGTTAGACTGACATTTGTGCTGATGGTCGTTCTAACCCTACAAGACCGTTTCGTGAGGCTAGCAAGAGGTAGACGTTTTAATATAACTTCACATAAAATGTTTATGATTCTCATAATGTGTCCAATTTCGGGTTAGGGGCATTCCGCAGAGCCGCATGTTTTAACTATGTTAAACTTGGTGTTCCCACCGCAGCGGGCCTGCGATCGGTAGAAAATTGATGAAAAATTGGCTCTAAAAAGCTGCTTGTCGGCGGACAGAACTAAACATCTACTTCTCCTCTGTGGAAATGGACAAGTACGGAACAAATTGATAGCCCTTAAGTTCTCGCGAGCACTGGGATGGTATCAGGAACCGTTCTCGAAGAAATGTTCATTGGGATCAATCGTTATAAAAGTTGCCACAGATGGCGCGACGTTTGAATGTCTTAAGATTAAAGGATGGAAGCTACGCATGGTAGCAGAATGTTGTACAGCGTTTTGGCAGTAAAGATAGAGACAGGGGGAACTCCGGACATTTGATACCCAAGCATCGGTTCGGGCGATGAACTCAGAAGCCATTAGCTACTAACTTAAGAAACATCCCGTAATGCAGAATGGCGCAGAGGACAGTACGCGCGACGACAAAAACACATTAACTTTAAAAGAATGCCGGAGGGCTGTAACAAACAAAACGGCATTAAGCGGACAATGGCCACGATGTACAACACTCCGGCGCCGTACAGTGGACGGGCGTCGCGACCGGTCATTGTGGTCCTAGTCGTGCCACAAAACTAGGAAAGTCTGTTTTAGGTCGCCGACAAACGCGCGTACGGTTTAAAGAGAGAGTTTTGAGCAGAAACGGAGAGATCTCCTACTTACAATCTTGGTATGTGTATTCACTGATACTACTCGTGTTTAGAATAAAACCTGATAGTTGTTTACCGTTTACATCTACTATCTACGTCTACTGTCTACGAACGTATCATCAACACTACAAAACATCAACGTATAACTATGGCATGAGTTTTCTTCTTTAGGTTACACAGCTAAACCCATATAAATTCGATTTGCCTGTGTTTCTCGTATCTGCTCCATCTAAATTATTTGCGCCCCGATCTGTCAATACCAATTTTTATCCCAAACCCACGTCCTCGTGTTTATTGCTGTTACCTTGCTAACTTTCCTCTGTATTCATCATAGTCATACTCGATCACAAACATCAAATTACGCAAATAAGGTAACAGTGTATACGTTTGTTTTATTAATCATCAGTGTCAAACATATAAGGTTATGTACAAATGGTATTAGTCACATCTTTAGACACAATTAATGATTGAATTAGTAGACATATAATATGAATAAATACGCATGTGGTCGAAATTATTATTACGCCGTTATTTCAAATGTTAATTATGTGTTAAATGGTTACACACTTTATTATTTTGATATGAATCAAACATCGAACATTGTTGTGCATTTCTCGCATCTCGCTATCTCATTTGCTCTGGCTCTCTCCTTCCTCGCCACTCTGTCAGTAGAATCTTCATTCCAAAACACGTCCTCGTTTTTATGTTCAATTCTGCCCTACTTCCCTCTATATCCGTTCATATATCATAAACTCGATGACAACATTCAAATTGAAGTAATAATACAGGGCTATACGCTTGTGTTTATTAGAACATTGTCAAAATATGGTTATACACAAATGGATTAGTTAGATTTTAGACAAAAGTTACACATTTGTTTTAATGCTCACACATTGGGCTCCTCATTAAAAACACAACCATTACTGTCAGTGTTATACTTAGCGGTTCAGAGCTTTCACAAGCCAATTCGTTAGTTCAGCCTCCACTCTGGCAGAAGCTGTAGCAGTCGAGTTGTTATTTCGTTGGGATTCCAACATACCCCCAGATCGATAGTTGTGCGGGTGCGCTCGCGTGTTCGGCAGCAGCCTAAGCTGCTCTTACATGTGGTCTCAGGTGTCGAGATGTCCTTTCTGCTTAAATCTCATGTGCGATCATAGGGTTCTTCAGAGCAAAAGAACGTACTTTTAATGTTACATTGAATGCATTGTTTCCTCTTGGTGCGTTCTCTATGGTGTCTCTTCACATGATTCAGACATGCAAAGGCCCGGTCACACAGATCCAAACTTATATGGTACTCGCCAGTTGTGAAGTTCATCGTGTGTGTCTTCATTATGACCCGGACTGTGAGAGAAGGTAGCATCACACAGATCGCACTTATATGGTTTCTGCTCCCGTGCTGCGTTCTCATGTGTGTCTTCAATATTACCCAAAGCTCGCAGGCAGCCATCAACACATTCGCCCTTTAGTACGGTTCTTCTCCTGTGTGAGTTCTCATGTGTGTGCTTCACACTACCTCCGACATGAGAAAGCAGCCATCACACAGATCGCACTTTATATGGTTTTCTCTCCTCGGTGTGCGTTCTCATGTGTGTCTTCACATTTACTCAGAGTGGAGGATGCGGCTTCACACTGAACGCAACTTAACGGTTTCTCATCGAGTGTGAGTTTCTCATGTGTATCTTCACATGATTCAGACAAGCGAAGGCAGATTCACACAGATTCGCACTTATAGGGTTTCTCTCCTGTGTGGAGTTCTACATGTGTAATCTTTCATATTACCGCCTGTGAACAGGTGGCTTCACAACAGATCGCACTGTAACGGTTTCTCTCTTGTATGAGTTCTATAGTGTGCTTTCACATGATCTCGTACATGAGAAGGTAGCATCACACAGATCGCACTTATATGGTTCTCGCCCGTTGTTGAGTTTTATGTGTGTCCTCATATTACCCGCGAATGTGAGAAGGAGGCTCACACATGATCGCACTTATACGGTTTTTCTCTCGTGTGAGTTCTCATGTGTTTCTTTAAATAGTCGTCTTGAGAGGTAGCATCACACAGATTGCAGCTTATAGCGGTTCTCTCCCGTGTGAAGTTCCTCATGGTGTATCTTCGCATCACCTGATTGTGAGAAGGTAGCTTCACACAGATCGCAATTATATGGTTTCTCTCCGTGTGAGTTCTCATGTGTTATCTTCACAACACCTAATAGTTGAAAAAGTAGCATCACACGATCGCACTTGATACGTTCTCTCCGCCGTGTGAGTTCTCATGTGTCTCTACACATCATCTCGATTGTAAGAAGGCAAGCATCACACAGCATCGCACTTATACGGTTTTTTCTGCTGTATGAGTTATCTATGTGTGTCTTTAGACTACTTGACCTTAGAGAAGGCAGCACATCAACAACCGATTCACACTTATACGGTTTTTCTCCCGCGTGTAATTCTCATGTGCATCTTCCCATGACTCGTATTTGAGAAGTAGGCATCACACAGTATCGCACTTATATGGTTTCTCTCCGTATGAGTTCTCAGGTGTTTCTTCTATATTACTCTGAAAGTGGAGAATGCGGCTTCACCACACGTCTCGCACTTAATACGGTTTCTCCCAGTGTGGTGTTCTCATATGTATCTTCACATGACTCGTATTTTGAGAAAGTAGCATCACCACGCTCGCACATTATATGGTTTCTCTCCCGTATGAGTTCTCGATGTGTGTCTTCATATTACCCTTGAGTGGAGAATGCGGCTTCACACACCTTTCACACTTTACAGTTTTTTCTCGCAGTGTGAGTTCTCAAGTGTGTTATCTTCACGACCTACTCAGTTTGGAAAAGACAAGTGATCACACAGTTTTGCAGCTCATATGGTTTTCGCCCGGAATTAATTCTCACCGTATTCCATCGTGCTCAGGGAAAGCTGCCACGTCTGGTCAATCAGAACGTTCAAGTATTACCCTGTCCGGCGCTCAAAGTTACGTCCTCGTATTTTTGGCTTCGGAGACGGCCTCGTACACTAAACAGCTCGTAGAATTAACGTCCTATCTAGGTTCTCCTCAAATTGCTAAAGAAAATACAAATAACTCTGTGATTGAAAGCCGCGTTAGACAGGGGTAGAAATTAACTTTTGAACGCCCGTGAGTCAACCCCTTCTCCATTCTCATACCCTATACCCTCAAAAAAAGGGAATCCGCAGTCTGGGGTCAAAATTAAAGATATTAACAATAATGCATTGTGCTTATTTTTAAGATTCATGTGGTTGCACGTTTGCCAATTGGACATTTCTGAAAAAATACGTAATTTCGCGAGGCCTGTGCTCTGGAACGAATCATTCGTATGGCAGCATTTTCAGGGAACAGGACTTTAATATAAAGTAAAGATAATGGAAGTACACAAGAATGTGTTTCAAACTAACAGATCATATATTCGCCAGTCAAATAACATACACACGCACAGAGCCCCATACGTACACCGTAAGTAGCGCAGGGCTATTCTGGTGTCGGGTGTTTCTGAACTGATAAATTCATTTGATTGCATAGGCAAAGACGTCTATACATACGTTCATTTGCTAACCGCAAAAACAACCACTTCAAACTAGTGTAATAAAATCCGATTAGATGGGCGGGCCCGACTATCTAAGGCAGTCGTTGCATCGGACAGCAAAATCATGTAGCTAATGGGCAGCTGTCAGTGTGATGAACGAATTGCAAAAAGCGCAGGGAGCGAATAATTTATCATATTACTTACTGATACATAACGTTGCGTTCTAATGGTGTCAGGTAATACAATTAAACCCTTGCGAGGCACATAACCTGGCTCGTTACAAATAGTCAATGTTTTGATACAACCAGAGCAAAAGAGCAGTCGTGCAAGTATTACAATTTACAGCAATACGGATAGAAATATCCCTAACTAATTCAGTACACGGTAGGCCGTGATTAGTGGCACGAATAAGCTTAATGAACGACACACTTGCGTCTATATTGTTGCAGAAAATTGTGAATGAGAAAATTAAGTCTGGAAATCCGGCAAGGGCCTCACTGCTGGGTAATTATTTGAGTGCTAGTGACTGTATTCCAACTATTACATAATGTGCATAGCAGAATCTTATATATAAGTTATGTCATTATCTCGCTAAGTAGCATTGTTCAAGTAAGAGTTATGTGTGGAATTTCACTTGTAAAATGGGACCTTTCCACACCCACAGGTAGCTCGCCAACGCAGTTGAGAAGAAACAAATCCAGTGTTTAACCCTCTCTTAAGGGTCAAAAGGTTATCCGACACTTACTCTTCGCATGTCAGCTGTAAAGTAACATTTCATGGTCCTTTAATAAAGCCAATAAAATGTATGGTCACTGCTAAACACAAAAAGTTTTTCAATGCGCTCCGTCAGACCATGTTCAAAAAAATTCTAAAATTGCGCCTGTGCCCCATTGAATTTTGCGTCTGTGACTGCCAATTTTGGGCACAGTGATGGCTTTTTCCTACATGCATGCTATACACCGACTATCACGAGCCTAGGTCGAGCCGTTAGATTTGTGCCGCAATTACTGCAATTTCCTCCTATATCCTTAAGTTAAGGAGGGAATGTCTCCCCTTCTTTTACACACTCTTGACCTTTGACTTGAGCCCCCCAGCTTGCGACATCCAACTCGTTTGAGGATCCCCCCCGACATCCCCAATATCGTGACCGTACATCAAGCGGTTAAGATTGTGCCCAACTGTTGACGCACGGACGGACGCAGCGACGGACGCACGGCACGGACGGACGCCACGTTCATGCGATTCTACAAGCTGCATCTGACTATGTCAGATCAGCTAATAAAATATCCAGTCGCCAAACACTTTGACATGCCACCCTTTTATTGAATGTCCTGAAGTTTGATACTATGGAATTATTATATAGTTTTTAGCGAAGACTACATCTGTATACGATACACAAGTACATATACGACGCAATACCTTTTTAAATCTGTTTCGGCCCTTCAATATCGTTTTTACCGTGAGTTTCCTTGGACGTCAGAGTGTCGCAAGCAGCAATGTAGGAGCCCAGTCCAGTATGTGAGGCGGTCAGACAGGTCAGTGTGGTTTCCCTACAAAAAAACAACCAACTTTATATACTACATGAGATATCCCCGACTTAGGAAACAGTTCGGTTCCGAGCGATCGTTCGTAAGGTCGAACATATGTATATACGTATACAGTAGTGTAAGTAGTGTAGTATCAGGGTTAGATAGTAACACATTTTAGTTTAATTAGTCCACCATTAATAGTAAAGAACAAGTGCCACATGACGACAGTGCTCATCTGAGGTCTGCTAGCTATTCTACTGTAGCTGGCCTTTGTATTCTGAAACTGTAAAAGGTTGAAAGTCTGTTTCCACATCGCTAAACGGCGGCTACGACCGCATCGAAAACTGTTTAGACATAGGTATTAACACCAAAAACTAAACCGCTAAACTGTGACTGCATCCTACTTCACTACTGCTCGACTGTCTTATCGTGTCATAATGTATTCAATAGGCTATTATTGCCGCGAGTTAGCGCATGCAAGTGTAATCAATAAATCGAAAGATGGCATCGCCCTTCGTTAGCGTTGGTGATCAATCAAGAAAGTAGAGTATAACCTAATTTCATTGAGTTGCTGAAATCACGAGGCTCCACAATCCAAGTATGATCAGGACAGCGACTAATTTCGCTTCAGCTGTTGAGTAAGAACATCTAATAGCACATACTGCAGGTTGCCAGCTGTGGCATGTTTGATTAGAAGAGAGAAAGCTGCCAGCTTAACCTTTCGCGCCGGATCCATTGAGTCCCACCATCAGTGGAGTTGACCCGGCCCTGGATAGGCTGTCCCCGCCCACTCGCCGGGACTGCAGGCGACAACTGTGTGGGTTTTTCTGCCACTACAATTTTTCGGAATCTTGATCTGGTCCACCCAACGACAAGAAGGGGGATCTCCCTGTCTGGTCGGATGCACCCGTAAGCTTCCACCTGCGCTCCCCCGGCATTTTTGTGGGTGCTATTCAAATATCAAGAGTAGATAAATAACAAGAGTGAGACAACCGATTCCCTGCATTTTAACCGATTTTTCTCATCAAAATTTACCACCAATAAAGAAGCAAGTGTATACGTTTCTCAGCTTATTATGACGCACTAATCTTGCAGTTGCGTTGCACGCCATGCTTAGGTTTAAAAATTAAAACTATTTTAGCATTTAAACTCATAGTTAGAATGCTTGTTTTTTATGGTTGAATCCAGCATTTTTTTAAATACGCTGCGCTGTAAAATATCTGAACTACTTCACCCACGGAAGAATAATGTGTATGAATCTAGAGAAATTGAGCTCCAGCTGATTTGTAGCTTTTCGCACATGTGTTTTCATACAACCGTTAATTATGCATTTGCAGGCAAACGCATGTGTTTACACCTTACTTTATCATGACCATCTTATGTGCTGGAAGGCGAGAGTTAACGTCGTTATCACTCGCCTTTGTTAGCCAAAACTAAACTTCTCGGGGAGATAACGTACGGAGACGCATCCCTGAACACGCCTTCTTCAACTAGCTGTGTGTGCGAATTTTCGGCTTTGCAATCGACACACGACGGTAAATGAAACGTGAAAACTCATGTCGTGCACAGTACGATTTCTGTCAAAACGAAGGAAGCTAACGCGGTTTGTAATAGCTACCGGAAGATAGAATAAGGAGCTGAAGTGAAAAAAGAAGCCCCCGTGTTTGTATACATTTGTATTTTTATCACATCGGAACGTCGTACGACAAACTGTAAGCAGAAGGCAGAGAATATAACAGAAAATACAAGAAGCAGTTATTAAAAACAACAATTATTATATTAACACGTGGTAGGATTATCCTCTACCGAGGTCCCTAAGCTAACAACTATACACGATAGTGCCCACTATCATATATATATATATATATATATATATATGCAACGATTTTACGGTCTAGTTGTGACCGACGAATGAAAGGTTCGACCACTGATTGTAGTATAGGTGTCACAAAGAATAGGCAAGCACGTAAACCAGAACAAGCTGATAAAATGGTTCACGCCGGGAATAGGCCCGGGCTTTTATTCGGCCTTAGTCAAGCAGACTATAGGTGAACTAAAAGATGGTGACAAAATCCCACACAGCGTTGTCGCGCTGGGGTAGGCAGAATATACAGCGGATGAACTGAACAGCTAAACAGTACTACTAACACCCTGTAGTGAGTTGCTTGCCTGTGCAGGGGTTAACTAGATACTGGTTATGCTTACGGTGATCCCGTGAAGATGAGGCGCTCCCGCTCGTGCTGCAGTGCTGGCTTGACCGTCTCGGTCGCTCCGAGATCGGATACTACTGCCTTTACTGAGAGCAGAGCCAGCATTTATACAACAAGCTCAGGCGGGGGTAAGGGCTTCTTACCTGCCCATCATGCCTGCACGAAGGAGACGCGTGATGCAAAGTCATGTTTTATGTCACGCAAACATCACATGACAAGCCACAACATCACCCCACAGGTTTCCTTATACAACCGGTAGAATCACGTGATCGCTGTCAAGCCACCACAGGATGGCTGTACATTGACGGCTGGGATGCTGAGACACCGCGACAGGACGATAGGATCGGGGATATGAGGCATATGGCAGCGAAAGTTCGTTGCACTCCGCCTTTTCTCTCTTAGGACTCTTGCGCGGCCAGAGTCTATCCTTGGGTGACAGGCTAACGAACATTCGATGCCCTGACACCAGGCAGCGGCATCAACTATCTGCGGGTGCTTACCGAAGCAAGGGTCCGAGTATCTGGCCATACCAGATGCCTTACCGGTATACGGCTTCATAGGGAGCGATGTGGAGTCCCTTGCACATCTACTACCCGAAACTATGGCAGTGCCGCGACAATGGATACCTCCTGGAGTCGGCGTGGCCCGTAAGCACTAATACTCCCAGGTACTCACTGCCGCTGCTGCTAATAAATGCATTATAAGTAGAACTGTAATAACAGAGATTTTCGTGTTTCGCTAAACACTTCACGCGAACAATAGGAGCGGCGGATATTACATAGGGCGGGGATGCTAGTACATCGTTTCTCTACTACTGTTATCTCTCGCTGGATATCTTAACTGATGTTAATGCGGTATGAAACGCAAGAAGGGATTCGCCTATTTTACAATAAACCCTGTGGCAACGCCACGCGATACTGTTCTTCTCATTCTATACTCACAATTCATAAATGAGTGACAGGCCCGTTCAGCGCGCAAATCTACCATGCAGTGTGTCGTCGTCCTCGACGCTACATACGGGAGAATAGTCGTAAATCTCTACGTATATACGCCTATGGAAAGATGCAGCAGCAGGCGCGCATAGTTTAGTATGAGGTTATCTGGACGTCTCGCGTCACAGTACAGGTGCAGCTACCTGTCACAGATGTAGCATTACTTTAACTATGCGTGATGCTACACTGCATAGGCGCGAAGCCATTTCGCACTGAGAATCCGAGCTCGAAGTCGCAAGGGCTACTTTCGCTTACATCCTCTTTTTAATTCTATCGTGCGTCAGTGACCACTCGCACAAAGTAGAAAGCTAGTTCGCTGATAGGTTTCTGCCCCGTCTCGTGGTGAACGGGACTTTCGAACTCCTAGCGGAAACCCCTGCTGTCTACTAGAGGTCGCGAGTTCGAGTTTTGTTTTTTTTATTTTTTTTTTTATTTTTGTTTTACTCTAGAGAGGGCGGTCAGAACCGTGGAGGCTTTTGCTCTTCACTTTCCGTAGTGCGGCTGTTGGTTTCGGCTGACGTGTGACGATAGTAATTACCTGCATACTGGTAGGATTTCATGCCTTAACAGTGTGCAGAGGCGCTTATCGTGATGACGTTAACCATGCTTCTCTACCACCTCACTATAGCCACCAACGCGTCAGCTTGAACGCTGTGTGTGAGTATTTAAGGAGAGCATAGTAGGCAACGATTCTTCTATTTGTGCTGTGACTGTAGGCGACAAGCGCGTATGTGTCGACACGCGACGTCGCAGCGCAACGTGACGTGAAAGGACAGGTCTTCTGACACTCGGCGACCATCCACTTAGTCATCCCGTGACGTAAGCAGGTTCTCGTGCCACTGTATCGGAACGCATTCGATCCCCAAGCATAGCGCCTAGATATCATGATGTGTTCCCGTGCACATCTCGCATGGTTGCCTCTCACTACATCATGCATCTCTCTCCACAGTCGGTATGTACTACTCTATATGCGGCTAGCGCTTGTTCAGTAGTACAGTTATTCCGCTCTCTTCGAGCATGGTTTACTCGTCGAACAGTGATTTCTACCTCGAATACTGGCGCGTTTTTATACCACCGAAATATCGCCGGACTCGCGCGAAACGAGTGATCATATGATATGACAGCTCGCCGAGGTTTAGCACTTTCTCGCCGAGAAAACCACGCATTGAACCTGCGTCGACGCTACTCTCCTCGTCACATCACGTGGGGAAGAGGACGTGGGGAAGAATGCCTAACAAGCGGATCTGCGTATACGACTTGCAAGTGAGTAGCGTGGCAAGCAAGGGCTTCTACACAGCTTCACCTGTCTTGAAGCTGCCCTTCTGCTTCACATGACGCATACACAACAAGTGTTTACGTTAATCCGAACAGGCGGTCAACGAGGTGAGGCGGGTCACTCGAGGTGGACGGTCCCACACAAGGTGACGGCTCACACAGAGGTGATGACCCTGGCACAGATATCCCGGCATGCACTAAGGTTTCTTATGTTGTCGAGGCGTAGCAGGGGAAATTTTTTGTCTTAGGATTTCTACGCCATGACGGTTTCTAGGCATAGAATTCTGGCCTGAGCTGGCACTACCGCCACACGTGAATATCTGTACGTATTCGTGGCATATGTAATGAGCAGCGTCTAGCGTCTAGTACTGTCGCATCTCTCTCA